GTTCAAGTCTCCATTCCAATGTGCTTGACACAGGAAACATAACCTTTCTCTGCACACGCTTCTTTGCAAAAGTTAATAATTTAAAGCATAAGAAAGATTGCAAGACCTCCTGCTGTTGCTTTGCTGCTGTTAGGTATGTGGCTGGCAATGCTGGTGAAACGACACAGTTGTTTAATGTGTTTTGAGTGACCACCTGGGATGACAAGTTAAAGAGGCACCTCTGTACACTCCTGCCCAATGGACTGCCCAGTGCACTGCTCTCTCTATGCTTTCCATTTGAAATGAAAGTTGCAATCTCTGCACCTTCAAATGCTTTCTCTTCCAGGCAGCAAGTGCATGAATTAACATCTTTTCGATCACCAACAGTTCCTGTGTAACATCTCACATTCTAGTGACATTTCCAATTCTAACACTTCTTCTCTTAGTAGTGACTTCAATCCCTGCTCCTCACACTTCATACTGAGCTCAAAATCAATCTTCAGACATACATCTCTAAGCACTGTACATAAGAAACTACAGATCACCCTTAAACTGTTTGTTACGAATGATGGAATAAAGATAGTGGCTATTCTTACATAATCTCTATATCTTAGAAAAAATGTATAAGAAGTCTTCGCTGAAAGTGAGAGTTTTGTCTGCTTAGTGCAGGAGGATTTGTGAGTCATAAAATGTGGGAACATTAAGAGTAAAAAAAAAAAACGCTGAATTTAGTTCTGAAAACTGTTGGATATATGCTCACGCTGCAGGAAAAAAAGAAGTATCAGATTCACCCAGCCGGCAAGCATCTTCCTGTGGGATAACTAGACTGTTCTTTGACCATACATTCATGTGTAACTATGGAAGCATGAACTCTCAAGTTCTTTGCAATTATGGTGCAGAATTTCAGCACTGCATCCACTTGCAAGAATATCCTTTAGCTACAGTATATGTGAAGTTTCCAGTATAATATCCTGAATATTATTTCTTTTCTATCAATCTGTTTCGTTAACTGCCCATAAAGAAAGCATGGGCAACATTGTGCAGTCTGCAAGAGTTCTCTCTCACCTATTTCTTAGATGCCATAGGAAATTTTTAGCTGAAATTTAAGGTAAAAAAACCAATATCTATCCTAACATTTTTCTTGTATATTCTGATAAAGTTCCAGGACTAAGCTCAGGTCAAATCTAGTAAAAAAAAAATATATATATATATATATGTATAAAAAAATCAGTCATTAGAATAGTTGCATCAAAAATCTTACCTAAGTGGTGATTTATCACCACTTCTAGGGTCTTCCATCTACCAATGATACTATGAGGATAGAACACCAAGGCCTCTGTAACGAGAGCTATAACGTCCCTCAGACAGTTATGCCAGTTCAGCTGTTGTTTAAGATTATTCTGTTTCTTACTTTTGCCCCTGATTGAAAAAGATTTGTGTTCCCCCCGCCAGACCATGGTGGAGTGAATTGCTCTTCTGCAACCAGAGATTGAGCCAGAAAGAGAGTCCTAAACAGAGTTTCTCCACCGTTACTTTGGCATCTCAGACATTATAAGTCTGTTGTGGTCTCTTATTTCCTCACATATGAAAGGGTGCACCATGGACTTTTTTTTATAAAGACACTTTTACTCTAAAGGGAAATAAATAGAGATGCTGTCAAAATAGTAATAAAAACACATGCTTAATACTTTTCAAATAACTGATTTCTTTCTTCTCTTTCTCTGTTTTTGCTTTAAAAGGCAAGCCATGATTTCCAAACTTTTTAAACTTCTTGATCTTGTAGTATGAGGGTCTGGTTACCACTTGAGTTGCTGGACCTAGTGACACTACTGTCACCATTAGACACTACTTGAAATCTTTATTCATTAAGCATCAGCACTTAAGGTTTCAAACTATGCAAATCAGAATCATACCAAATTTACTCATTTCATATTTATACCTTTAAAAATTATACAAAGCACATGGAAAAGCAGAATCAGACTCGTGACCTCTGTTGATTACCAGGAATGAAGCACTAGAGCAACTTTAAACAGACTGAGTGCAGAAATATTCACTGTTTTGCAAGAAAGCAGAAGTTAATCCAAGACACTTTATCCAAGTTTATTAAATGCTAGCAGATATGATTGACATGTGAAGAACATTTCCCATTTAGTGTAGTTAAGAATCTCCATCACAAGCATAACGCCATATGGCATTATTTCCCTTTATTTCTACTATTTCCTTTAAATGGAAATTTTGAAAGCAAATAATATATTCTATATCTATATCTATATTCTGTTGTCAACTTTCATCGAAGTATGAGCTGCAGATTCCTCAATGGCATACTTACCTGCTTAAGTTGGTGCAGGAATGTCTCTGGGTCCAACAGTAATAGGTCAGTGTAGATAAATCCTGGCAATTTTCAATGCCTTGGTAGCACAATTTAAATTATAAACCAGGCTTCAGTTTTGATTGACACAAAACCCCTAGTATCTACTTAAGTTCACTGTGCCAATTTACCAAGCAAGCTTAAGATTCATGTTGAATATTATGTTTCTACAAAGTTGCACCCTTTAAAGGCAGACACTTCACAACTTTAGCCTAGCCAACCAAAATTTGAAACTAAAAGCATGAACTACAAGGCATTAGACACCATGCAATTCACAAAAAAAATAAAAGTCTATTAAATTTTTCTTGATTAACTGTTCGAAGAAATGGATTTTTCAGTAAGTTGTTTATTTGTCTAGGGGACTGTAGGTAAATTAATGCTTTTAGAAAAGTAATGTCTATTGGGAATCAATAACTTATAAATCCTAACACTGTAGTTGGAAAAAAGTTTAATTACTTATAAAATGATCATTCCAGTATGTTATTCAGATTTCATAATTCCATCAAAAATAAGATTCCTTAAAAAGCACTTAATATACCAGGACCTCAATCATTTCTGTATATTAATGTTCTAGAACAAAATCCATATGAAGTGAAATTATAAGACCAACACTCAGCTTGCTCAACACTCTTGCAGAAATAAAAACGCTTTAAAGACAAACATAAACGTCCTAATTTTACATCTTAGAAGACAAAGAAGAAAAAAATATATAACTGGTCTCAGCAGCAAGTTAAAGTACTGGTTGCATGGAAGTGAATTTGAAGTTTACGGTTTAATCAGAGCAAGATGTCATCCAGGACTTTAAAATATTTGGTACTGACAAAGGTGCTAGTAAAGTAAGCTAAAACCCAACTGACAGTTCCACTATAATTATTTCATAAATTAATATCTTCTCTAGACTCTTGTTTTAATAACATATTTAATTTTCAGTGTAGATTGAAGCTGCAACATTTTATCTCCCCTGATGATACACTTCATTCTCTTCAGATCAGTGTTTATAAAGAGCATGTTTCTACACATCTATCAGGAGCTGAATAGGATTGTTCTCAGAAATCTTGATTGTTTAAAAGGAAAAGGATTAATTTCTATTCAAAATTATTATCTCCCTCTGTAGTAGATTTAAATGGACATACTTGAAGTATGCAGGGTTTGCTGTTGATTAAGCTTTCACTTTTAGTGTGCTCAAACCAAGACAGAAATCCCATGTACTGAGAATACTGATCCCTAGAGTATCATTTAAAAAATCATACCTCTGATACCCAATCCACTTTTCTGCGGTTTACAGTGTGCTGAAATCTGTGAGGCAATTGCCTATTGGAGGTATTGGACAGAAGCATAACATTCCACAGAAAGATGACTGCCTTGTTTCTTGCATCATTTCAGATTAACTCTAGCAGAAACACCCAGGAACAAATAGCTGAGATCACTAATGCCTTGGTCGTGAAAAGGACTAAATGAACTTACAGATCTCTACTGCATCTAACTTTCAGGATTATACAGAAAATAAACCCACTGTGAATAAGGGTCTAGCACTGCCAGAAGCCAGGTTGGACTGAACCAAGTAAGAGGTCTGTTTTGCCTGTCTTTCAAGTGCTAGAAACTAAATTTCCTTTCAATCCATTATTTCCTAGCTGGGAAGTAAAATTAAATGTTGAATGGCATCTATTTTCACACTGGAGAATGGGAAAAAGGACCAGAATCTTTCCACATTCAGAATAAGAAATCAAAAAAACAGCAAGAGAAACTACTTCTCCTTTGAAGGCTATTCTGTCATATGTACATAACAATCTTCTAAAGATTCTCTCCCGTCAGAGATACTCAGTAATTTGTGCCATAGTTGTCAGTTGACCAATGCTGAATAAGCATGCACAGAAAATTACTAGTAAAGAGTTCTATCTCCTCTTAGTCACAGAGCTGAAAGGGAAACCAAATGGATGAGTGGTCAGGTAATTACAGAGCCTTTGGAAAGTAGACAGCTACACAGAAAGTACGTGGTTGTAGGTGAATTTTTTTCTCTTATTCTTCCCTTTTCCATCTTTAAAAAAGTCTCCTTTTAAAGAAAGAGGTTCTTTTTCTTCATTTAAGCTTCCCTACTTCACTCCCTTTTGTTGCCACACCATTCCTAAATGTTTTTTTTTCCTTCTGAGAAAGCAAACACAGGAGAGCTTTAGGTAAAAAACAATCCTAGTTTCAGACAAGGAATGCCCTCACCATATAACATGATCAAAATATGGTACCCTCCATGGGGAGTTACAAGGTTCATCCATGTAATTTCACGGGTAGTTGCAATTTCATCCTCTGAAGAGTTCCTACAGCTTGTTGGAATGCTATGAGAACCTTGTCCCACTGGAAATGTCACCATTGCAATGACCTGTAGTCTGCCATGTAATCCATGGCTGTTGTGAGTTCTGTCTGTCTTCTCCATCTCTGCTTCTTAATTCCCACTTCTCTTAAAATGATCTTTTGTCAAAGTACTATTTTTTTTTCTGTTGTGCTAGTTCTTTTCCCCAAATTACTCCATTTCGGCATCCTATGTAAGTGAAAAGAAAAATTGCAATGCCAGACACTCCCTGAATTGGCATGGATTTCTGCATATATCTGCATATATCTTGCATATATCTAAAATTTAAAAAACAATGAGGGATTTGATTACCTGCCTGAATAATTCCTATTCTCTTTTTCAAAATTCCATCTGGGGTAGTTACAATGAAGCAAATGTAAAGATCATCATCTTTCAAAGTGCTCTTGATGAAGGATGAGGACTTGTCACCCTGGAAGGATTTACAAAATAAATTCTTCCATTATATTTGTCTTTTCTATGAATGTCATAGGTTGGATGTAAGACAGCTGAATTTTCTTTATGAGTAATTTTCATCCAGGATGACTGGATTATCACATCTTTTTTTTGGATATATACATTGTAGTTTCACCTTCTCAGTAAGTTTTACAGATGAATCCACAAACTATGCTTCCACACTGGCTAAAGCACACACAGAAATTCAGTTTCAGAATTAACATAATTAAAAATTAAATTTGTAGAGAAACCCAGAGACAATTTTGGTAGCACTACAAGCAATACAGTGAAGAAATAGTTTGCTAAAAAATCTCCAAACCTTACAAATTAAACAGCTAAACAGCTAAAATTTGTCTGACCCCCACAGTCACACACTCATGAATTGCAATCATAATCTGTCATGATATGATAAAAAAAGGAAAGATGCTAGGTTTAAGAAAGTAACCTCGCTTCCACAAAGCTGGAGGCCAACAATAAAAAGAACTGTGTGGTCCATCTCAAGGAACACTGGAATCAATGACTACATTGTGACATGGTTTTATTCAATCTCTGCACACCAAGTGCCTCTCTCACAGGATGTTTATACTTTTGAAATATGAAAAACACAATGTGCTTTTTACTTTTACATTCTAAGAAACACCGGGTTTGAGGCCTCAGTGCAGTTGCATCAAAGATTGTCTGAATTCCTACCAAAATCCATCTCAGAAAGAAGTTTTCACTACTAATAAATATACAGCAATATGCATAAATACTGTGATGAAGCAGGGATCTTTAGGCTTCATCACCAGAATTCTTCCATTTGATGTATCCAAAATGAACAGAATTTTTCAGACAGCGCAGTTCAACATTTATCTACTATTCAGGAAGTACAAAATCCAAAGAGAAGATAAGAGACTTCCTATATATTACAGGTCATAAGTCTGTGAGTAGTTATAAAAAGTAATGTCTTAAGGTCTGAGAATTTATTTGTGAAAACATGTCACAAATGAGGTATTATTTTGGGATCAAAATTATGCAGCTTGAAAAACCTTGTTCAAAGGTGTAAGAATCCTGACTATTCATGACTCATGTTGAAATTTGTCAAAACAAGCCTCACTCTTACATTTTTTATGGATTTTTCTTGGGACAACTGCAAGTATGTTTGTACCTTAGGAGACTATAGTTTTATGGAGCTGCTTAAAATTAGAACAATATAACTGATTTGAAGTCAAAACTAAGCTTGAATCAATTCATTAAAATTCTCAAATGAATAAACAAATGTAATTTGAACAGAAGCTGACAGCAGAAATTAGTACTTCAGGTGAGTAATGGCCTGCACAAGCTTGAACAGGACTCAGCATTAGATCTGCTTAAAATACCTTCCACAATGCAACAACCTGCCTGGAAATAAAAATCTGTCTATATTTATAACGCTAGGCATGTTTTAGGATAATACAAACTAGAATTTTTTTCCTATTTGATTGATTCTCTGATTTTCATTGTTTCCAATGACTCCCTTTTACCACTTCCCAGATAGATCTGTAATTCCCCATTGTTGCAGTTACACTTATTTCTACTCTGCCTTGTCAACAAGCAGAATCTTCCAAATGATGAAGTAATAAAAAAATTGTGCTCTGTAGTACTTTTTAACTCAAAAAGATGTACTACCTGAATACACTTATTTGAGAAATCAATAAAAGGTAATATATAAATATATTAATAAAAATGTCTCTTTTTGTCAAAATTTAGAAAAAAAAATTATAAAGGTTACTTTTCACAGTCTCTTAAGCTGATGTGATTCTTGTGTTCCTGTTATCTACGACAATTTTTACAGAAATTTCAAGTATTTTATTAATTTTCCTCTTATGGAGGGCAACTCCCAGGAAAAAAAGGAGATCTGAGTTTCAGTGTGAAAAGGCAATAAACCTTGACTTTTTTTCCTTTTTCTTTCCTTGTGATTTTTTGCTTCAACAAGTGACTGCCTATTTTTTCCTGTGTGGGAAATCATGTTCACAGCTGTAGGTAAGTGCAGTTGCTGTTGATAATGTATTACTCTAAACAGGATTGGTTTTTCCTTTTATGAGGAAGTTGTATACTTGGAATTAATAGAATCAGAGAATCACAGAATTATAGAATGGTATGGGTTGGAAGGGATCTTAAAGATCACCTAGTTCCAAGCCCCCTTCCATGGGCAGGGACACTTTTCACTAGACCAGGTTGCTCAGGGCCCCCATCCAACCCCACCTTGGTCACTCACACAGATGGGGCATCTACAACTTTTTGGGGAAACTTGTGCCTCACCACCCTCATAGATTCACTAGATGTGTTACAGATCAAAAAGATCCTTAAAAAATAGAACAATACTATATGCAAAATCTTTTCTTAAAAGCCTGAGCTTAGTTTACAAATCATATTTAATAAAACTGACTCTTCATTAAAATTTCTATTGACCTTGTCTCTTCATTTGTGCATTGTTTTTATTATTACTTCAATATTCTGAGAATTTCCTCAAATACTGGAACTTCACAGCAGCAAAGCAGCTTTGAGGATTAATAAAGTCTTAATACATGATCGGTTTCTTTTAACCTGCCTCATGATTTCTAAGAGTATTATTTACTTACATTTTAATTGAGCAATTGAAATTGTCCCAGACAATCCAAAATCTAGATTCACAAGGTACACCTAGATATTCAGTAGTCCATCTGATGCTCAGTATACATATCTAAATAGAAGAGAAATGAGCTGGAGACTGAGCCTGGTTCTATTTCCATGACAAAGTTATCTTTTCAAACAGATCAAAACATTAACTTATATTTAGCTTGTCTCAGGAAACACAGAAGTATTACTGATAAGAAAAGCAGGAAATGGGAAGCTTCAGATACTATACTGCAGATTTTGTATTGAAAATGAAAGGATTTAAAAGTCAAATGTGTCATGTTGCTAGATGTTTTGTGGCATTGTAGCCTTTAAACCTGTTACATTGGAACTATATGGATCCCATATTTAAAACTTTAAGGTCCTCAGATAGCAGTTCTCAAACTGCAGTTGCAGAAGAGGCAAAAAAAAGAAATTACCTCTGTAACTCAAAATATTATTCTTTATTCAACAATACATATGCATATAGTAGTTTACAGATAAGTGATGTTCCACAAAAATCTAAAGTAGAATGGAAAATATAAACAAAATATATTAATTTTTTCACCATTATTATTACAAATTAAACTTTTTACACACCTCTCTTGTTTAACTGAAGCTAAGATAAAGTATTCATGAAGACTCCAAAACAAAGATATATTCCCTTAAATGAAAATTATTTTTCATTTATCTGTCTATATATATAAATGGCAATTTTATTGCTCTGAATTTCATGTTTCATTCCATTTCTCCCCATCTGGCATTTAAAGTAAAACAGAAGTTAAGAAATAAACTTCTAATCCCATATGATGACTAAGTATTGATGATATGTTAATGTCTAAGGACATTTAATTGCTCTACAACAAACACAGTTACAACAAACATCAGGAATTCTTGGCCAGCTAGTCCCAAGAACAGTATCCCTCATCATGCCTGCTGAAAAAAACCCCTGTAACCAGAGCACTACTGGATCTCCCTCCAAAGGCTGCAGTTTAAGTCTCCTCTAGATGCCAGTAGAAGTCACCTACACAGACTTGTCAACACACCCATGAACCATAAATCTGAAAACTGTAGGCACTCCGAAAGTTTATTTCACTGGTATAATTTGGGGATTGGCACATAAAGCATCATATTTTTACAGAAGCTGTAACCTATAAAAAGATAAACACACACCAAAAGACAAATATACTTCCACCCTACCCACCTGGGCAGTGGATGTGTCAGAGCAGGTACTGTAAGGGAAAACCCATTGTGCAGCCCACTCACTTCTAGCCTCTCCTCATTCCTCCCTTACCTCTTTTTGCCCTACCCCCACTTCACTGAAAGGCTGGAAAATCCTCATTTCTCTGATCATCTGTGGATACGAGACTCACAACAGCATCAGTAGCACATTTCACAGTCACTCCATCACTTGAGCAGTTCCTTGGTCTCTGCCTCTCTGTTTTTCTGCCCACTCTTCCCCACAGCATGTCTCTTCTTTCCCAATTATGCCATTTTCTGGCTATCCTTTGAACCCCAAAGCAAAGGGAATGCTCACAAACAAGCCATATTTAACTAATAGTTGGCTAAATGCCAAATACAGTTTGAAAACAAAAGTAGCACAGTGGAATTTTCCGGCTGAATTTACAACCGTGGGATGTGGTTTAAAAGGAAAAAAAAGAAAGAAAGAGAAAGAGCAAAAAAGATTGTGCAGCAAACACAATGCAGATCTACAGCTTGGATTTTAATCATGACTTGAACATACATCTTCAGAGACCCTGGATGAGTCATTTCATTTCCTGGTGAATTAATTTTCCAAATTCCAATACATAGATAATACATAATGAATGTTGCTGTTTCAAAGCGTGTCACAATAATCTCTGTAATGAGGTTTTTTAATAGAAATTGCTACAAAACTGTGAAGAATAAGACACACATATAGGGCCAGCAAGTATGTTAATACCCTTTTTAATGATTCATTAGTATTTAAGATTTAGCAGATAGGCCTTTAGCAATAATGCAGAAAGAGTAGCAAATATACTTGCAGAAAGTTGTTACCACCAGAAAAAAAGGCCTTTACTGTGGCAGTGCAGTGAAGCAGGAGATAGCTAAAAAGATCACTCCAGGTACTACTGCTTTACCTGCAAACATGACCAAAATGACCAGGGCAAAAAGGCTTTTTAGTTTCAGTGACTTTTCAGTGAAGATAACAAAGCAAGTGGGCTGGAGGGAGGGAGGTTTTAGCAATTTCACACCTTCTGTGAGCATCCCTGTGGATTAGCTCTAACCCTGTAGAAGCCAGGTTAACCAACCAAGAACAAAAGTTCAGTGATAAGTGATGTAACTCCTTTCTCCATGAATGAGGGTCTACCATCAAGAAAAATACCTCTTTTTTTCCATTCACCATTCTATGTTTCTTTAAGCAGGATGGTTGAGTGGTACAGCCAGATAAAGGCGTAATAATTCAATTTGCTTTTTCCTATTCTGCACCTAATTTAATTGAATCAATAAAGCACCCCAAACTGGATTAATCTATAGGCATGCTTGATTCAGTAACATAATGGATAAAATTCTTCAGTATGTTTCTTTAACCTCAGAGGAGAATTAAAATGTACATCATATATTACTACGGAGAGAAATAAAAAAGTTGCAAATTAAATACAATCACATATTAGGGATATATTGGTTAAGATGATTCAGAGAGGAAAACAAATTGAATTTAAAAGGCTTTCCCAAATGTAGAGAAGAAAAGAAAATATAATCTACATACTCAAATTCTTGATAATTTTTTATTCTTAAAAGTGCTGGTCTCCAAGATTTTGAGTTATATAAATTATAGTTCTAGAATCAAATGCTTCAACCAAAATAAATCAATTTTTGTAAGAGAATATGCTTTTCTGAAACTGGCAAATTATTTACATTTTTGGATATTCATCCTAACATTACATTGAATACCTAAATGTGTCAGTATCATGGTTTAGTAATGGTATCCTCCAATTTAGTGTT